TTGTCCTTCATAGCCATCTCCTCGTACAACTACAAAAACATATTTTCATATTTTAATTCTCTTTTCCTTCCAAAATAAACTAAAAGAAGAAAGCTGAATTGTTCATGATTGAAAATAATCAGAGAGAGAGAGAGAGATTGCAATGCAGACCCTTTTCTCTGTTTGAGGGAGTTGGCACCACATTCGACCAAGTTGCTTACTTGTTTCACCAAATGAAGAGGACTTAACAACACCCCAAGTTGCCATCACAAAGAAAGAATAAGAAGTGCAGGGCTTTATTGGGGAACTATGCCTTCTAAGCACTCTCTCAAACACATCAAGCTTTCCTCTGTTTTTCTTCCTTGATTTCTCACTCCCACCACAACAAGGCCTCATTAAACTCCTGCCTGATGATATTGGAGGAAAATAGTTGACAGGAGATATCACCCCACTCCTCAGCCTTGTCACAATATTTCTTGTCTCAGTAGACTCAATTATTTCATTACCCTTTGAAGGTTGTGTACAAGAAGCACTTTGGTGATCTTCCACTTCTTGAACAGCATTTGGGGTCATATATGAAGAAAAACTTGAATTCTCATAGAAATGGTTTTCTGGGTAACATGCATTTGCATCCAGAGAGTTGAGGAGGCTGTGGTTCTGATGATCAGGTGTATGTTTTTTCTGCACACTGAATTGTACTGAGAATTTCAAATTCCCAGTGTCCCCTTTGACTTCAATGGTGTCTCCACTGAGAAAACCAGACAGTTGGAGAGGTGTTGAAGGCATTACAGTGTTTGGTGATTGAATTGATTGGTCAAACTGCATGTCTTCTGCCATTGAAGACCAAAATCCAAGATTGTAATGGAGGGAGGAACTGAGAGAATAAGCAAAATGGGTTGGTTGTAAGTTTTGGTGATGGTTGTTCGAAACTTAGTTGCATAAATGTGAAATATTTCATCTTTTGGCTATTTGGCACCTTCTGCATAACGTCGTTTCGTCACATGGCACTGGGTTTGCTTTGAACTCCCGAGATGCCAGACAGATGAAGTGCGAAATCAGTGGAACAGACGCGTCGTTTTAGAATTCAACACAGTTATGTGGTTTCAGTATTAGTTAATTAATGTTTATCAATGTAATTTTTTTTTTTTTTTAATCAAAGAGAGAAAGAAATTCATTGAAGAAACATTGGATGTACATATTCGGATAATATATCATGCTCTATGCCCCTCCGGTTTCACTAGAAGAAGACATAATATGATAGAGAAAAATAAAACTTGAAAGTGAAAAAAAATATTGAGTAGAAAGTGAATAATAGTAGAATGAGAAGAAAATATATGAGGATTTGGTGTTAAAAGTGAAGAGTATTATTGGTATTTACAGAAAAAAAAAAAATTCAGTATTTTTTTGGTATTTTTTATATAAAAATTCAATTTTTTTCTTTTTTTTATTGCACAAAAATTGGCTGCAGTTGGATTGGAGAAAAAAATCTGATCGGAGAGCCTAGAGTGCGACATGTGGACTTTAGCGGTACTGTATCACTGTAGCGGCACTGTAGTGCTGACATCAGCATCAAAACGAGGGCTGGAGCTCAAAATTTAGCTGCCTTTGGATTGGAGAAAAAAATCTGATCGGAGAGCCCAGAGCGCGACACGTGGACTTTAGCAGCACTGTAGCACGTGAGCACTGCAGCGGTAATGTAGCGCTGACGTTAGCACCAAAACAAGGGCTGGAACTCGGGCCAACCTTGCCCCTCGGGCCAGCCCAGGTTGCTGGGTCCCACCTTGCGCCCGGGCTGCATTTTGTTGCTAGAAACAGCTTTTTGGCCCAAACCCCCCCAGCCCTCCCCCAAATCCCCTCGCTAGAAATGCTCTAATAATAATTTTTATTTTTATTTGGGATTTTGAATTTAAAATCTCTTTCAACATTAGAAAGATAAATATCACTAAACTAATAGCTAGTTGGTCATTGCGAACTCAATCATTTCTTCTGCCTTGTATAAACAGAAATATATAACTTAATTTTGTTTTTGTCTGTGCCACATTACCTAATTTAGGTACATCATGTTAACATATACGACCCAACAAAATCGATAAATTTTACATATAAAATACCACTAAACCAATAAATTTTACATATAAAATACCACTAAACCAAGAACTACTTCATGGCTGCTAGTTTAATAATTTGTCCTCGACGTATCAACAGAAATATATCTTAATTTTGTTTTTCACAGTGTCACATTACCTAATTTAGCGACACCGTGTCGACACATAAGAAGACCCAACAAAGTTGATAAATTTCACACTTGAATTCAGGCCCCTTCGAAAATATAAAAACCGCCCCCCTGTTAAAAGCGTTCAGCTTTATCCAAAGTTTTCAACTTTTTGGACATGGTAGCACCAGTAGCAGTTGCAGTAGCGGCAACAACGGCGCTAGCTACGCCTAGTTCGCTAACGTGCGCACTGGTTCCATCATGGCAAGGTCATTAGACTCATTACCGGCCTCCCCGCTCCATCTCTTCCTTAGTGTGCAAATGGGTTTTGATTGAATTTTAATGGTTAATCTAAATTTGCAGGGCTTCGTGGAAGTCTGGGACCAGCTCGAAGCTTGCAATGGCCAAAGAAACAGGTTCGCCTACTTCGAAATTTTGATTTCGTTTCACACTTGCATAAATGGGCTTCCTTTGGTTTCTGAGAAAATCGAGAAAAAGTTTGAAAATTTTGAGTTGGTTTTATGTATGAATTTGTTGTATTTGATTTGGAATTGTAATGTTGTCAAAGCAGAGACAATGCAGAAGGAAAGCCGGTGGCACTAGTGTTACTGCCCAATTTGAGCTAAAGCCTCCTCCATATCCACTGGTAAGATACTAAAAGTTATGAGGTTTCTCTTTGCAAAGTTTCTTATACGTTATTAGACTTAAGCTGATTTTGAGTAGATAATTACTATTTTACCAGTGGGTTTAGGCTTCATACACCAAGTTCCAAATTTAGTGTGTGTTAGCCCAAGTTAAGTTTAATTACTACTAGCCGCCCTGGCGTTTGTCAAACTTACTTGACTGCTTGGTGTAGAAATTCTTGTTACAAATAAAAATTTTCAATCAAGTTTCTATCTTTCATCTTTTATTTACTATATTGAATGGAAATCTATTAGGACAAATATACTGAACATTGTAGCAACTTTGACTGAAAATGGGCAGTGGAATTTGGGGCGCTGGTTCACTTTAGATGACAATGTGAGCCAATACTGTTTAAATCATAACATTGCTTTGATATTTCATATTGAGCAGGATGCACTGGAGCCGCACATGAGCAAGGAGACCTTAGAATATCACTGGGGGAAGCACCATAGGGGTTATGTGGATAACCTAAACAAGTTAACAGCAGGAACTGAACTAGATGAATTGTCATTGGAAGATATCATACTTGCTACATACAACAAGGGGGATCTTCTCCCGCCTTTCAACCATGCAGCACAGGTATGCTATCAATGAGATTGAATGCTTACCATTATCTTGAATTGTTTGATGTGATAATGTTTTGAGGTGCTTGGGGAAATGCATCGCAATTTGAAATTGTACATTTGCGTCGAAATTAATATTAAATTCAATATTGGTGAAGTTATAACTACTTAATGTTAAGGTAGATACTGATGAAATCCACCTGAGGCGTCTGTGACAATTTGTTTAAACTTCAAGCATGTACTAGATTGACTATATCAGTATACTACTCATACATATACTGCACACAGAAGCAGTCTTTTCTATGAGTCATTCCTGAAGTTAACTACCTATTGCTTTTTTACCTGTTTGCAGATCTGGAACCATGACTTCTTCTGGGAATCAATGAAACCAGGTGGTGGAGGAAAGCCATCAGGTGAACTTCTAGAATTAATTAATAGAGATTTTGGTTCTTTTGAGAGATTCGTTGAAGAGTTAAGGTCAGCTGCAGCTACACAGTTTGGTTCTGGTTGGGCATGGCTTGCATGTGAGTGGTTGCCTTCCCATTTGACATCTTTAAGATTGAATTCTGCTGTCACATTGAATTTGGTGCACGCTAATATATCCTAGTGTTTTCTATTTTCCAGATAAAGCGAATAGACTTGATGTTGGAAATGCGGTAAATCCTAAACCATCAGATGAAGACAAGAGGCTTGTAGTTGTGAAGAGTCCTAATGCCGTAAACCCCCTTATTTGGGATTATTCTGTGAGTATTATGACTTATTCAATTCTTCCTAACTCATTTTTCATGTCAAGATAATTAATACAGTACTCTATAGGAAAATATGTATAATGACTTTTCTTATTTATTTCATGCAGCCGCTCCTTACTATTGATGTTTGGGAGGTATTTGACATTTACCAATGTTTCTTCCTATTTCAAAATAGTTATATTTTATAATGATTTTGTTAAAAACCATTACTGATTGATTGTTAAATCACTGTGGAAATTTGTTTTTGTTTCAACAGCATGCTTACTACCTTGATTTTCAGGTGAGCCTCCTTTTATTGAACATATGAATTTCCTTCTTATGAGAAGGGATCTATGCATTCTGTCCGATACAAGTACATCTAACAACTGAATCTCTGGCTTTTCGTCCAGAACCGGCGGGCTGATTACATATCAATCTTTCTGGAGAAACTTGTATCGTGGGAAGCAGTCAGTTCTAGGCTTGAAATCGCAAAGGCTCGAGCTGCTGAAAGAGAGGAAGAAGAAGAAAGGAAGAAAAGAGAGGAAGAGGAGAAAACATCAGATGGCGAAGTTGAAGAGATTTATGTGGACAAGAAGAGTGATGACTCAGAGACTGAATGAATTCAGTTTATTTTGCTGGCAGTGAAGATAAACTGGAAACAATTTTGGGTTGGTTGCCTTCTGGTTTGCAGTAAATGTGATACATACAGAGGTCATTTGAGTTTAGGCGGCTTGTATTATATTTTTTGCACCCGAGTAGATAGAATTTAGGATCTTAGGGGAGCATGTATTTCTCTGTTTTCTACAAAATATAAAGTTGCTCATCTACATTTGGTTTTCTTGTATTCATATCATCTTATGGGAGAAATCTTAAGAGACAATAGACCATCCAGAGGGGAGATCCTTGATTTGTCAATGCTTGGTGGTCCAAAGACCTCCAAAAATCGAAGAGAGCCATCTGCCACAGCTGATACCACAGTTAACCCATCAGGGCTCTGCAACAAAAATCAATAAAAAGAAACCATGTCAAGGGCTTATGGGACAGTCAAAAGGACCCGAAAGAGTTGCAAAATGAAATTTTGGGTTTTCAAACCTGAGAAAGATGAAGGACTCTGGATGTGTAGCGATTCAAGCTTCCGACTTTATCCATGGAGGGATACCTCCAAAGGCAGAGCTGATTCTTGATGAGCTCGCTTGCACTATAGCCATGGCCACTCATTATCTCCTTGTGATGCCTGTTCCACTCCAGTCCACAAACCTAGAAAAATATAGCAGATTTATATTCTTTATTAATTGATTAGAACATCATAAAAATGAAAACATGAAAACCATAGAAAGCTTGTAAAATGTAGATCAAATCCTATAACTCGCCTGAGCTTCGGTAGCAATGCTTTTGATGCAGGTTCCCTTTTTTGTGTTCCATATCTTAATACACCCATCTTTCGTGCCTCCCCCGGAGGCTAGCACTTCAGACTGATAAGGACACCATGCAAGGGCCTTGACTGTAGCACGATGGTCTTTAAGACGAAACAAGAATCTCTGTGAGTTCATTTTGGAAGAGTCCCATATGTACAGAAGATTTTCATTGCCGCCGCTTGCCAATACATTGCCTTCTCCTGACCATTTCAAACCACAGACTTCTTCAGTGTGTGTCCGTAAACGGCAAGTCACATTGCTTCCTGCTCTGACTGTCGAAGAGACTTCTTCAGTGAATTGTTCCATTAAATCAATGATTTAGAATCAGAATAGAATTGCTAAAGGTGAAAGGGTGTTAGTGGACTACCATCATGGTTGATGATGGACTTGTCGCGGCTGCCAGATGTTAATGTGTGGCCATTCCATGTAATGCTTGCTATCCTGTCCTTGTGGTTTTCTAGGCTTCTAACCTTTGTGTAAAAAAAAAGGTCCACCAAAAAATGGTTTGAATTGCATCATCAACTAAATGTTTCAAAACAATGAAAAATTTAACAAGCATGAGAAGGTGTTTGAGAGAGCTTTACAAGCTTAGAAGTCTCAGCATCCCACAGTTGGAGTTTTGAACGCCTAAATCCAACTGCTACAGTTTTGGCATCTTGAGACCAGGCTACACTTGATGGAAAATCATTCAGATCATCAACTTGCAACAGCTTATGAACCTCTCGGTTCTCTGCGTTCCAGAGGAATAAATCTTTGCCTAAAGCAATTGCAATTACATTGTTCTTCCCCCAATCCATGGTGCTCATGTAAAAGTCATTTCTTATGTTTGGTGCATCCAGAATTCTAGCTTCCCCCTGCAGCATTCCACACTTAGAACAAAGTAATCACAGAGAGCAAAACAAGAAGGAAATGGGAAGGAAAAAGTGATATGTTTGCAGTACCTTAGGCAATCTTCGAGGCTGATGGTGTTTACCATTACCATCCAATTCCTTTGCCTCATCCTGTCGCATCAGATCAACACAACGAATGGACTTTCTGTTTGATTTTGGACTTCCCCTAAAAACCAACATCCTAAATGGGTTCCCTTCTGAATCCAAAGTCAGTTTGTCCTCTATGCTCTTCCTGTACACCTCCTGGAAGACCCAAGAACTAAGGATATCAGTTCAAGAATTGTTTACAAGAAACTAAAATGCAACTACGACATACCCAATTCTTGAAATTCAGCAGAAGATAAAATGCAACATTCAAAAAACATCAAGACCCCAAAACAAAGATAGTCCTTTCTTCTTCTTCTCGTTTTTTTTTTTTTTTTTTTTTTTCCAAATAGAAGTAAAAACTAAAACCCAATGAACAATTTATCAGAAAAGACTAAAAATGACTAAAGCAATTAATTGTTACATTGAAATTCGAGTTCCGGTTTGGTGTTGTCCTGTTTGACAGTAAACTGCGGGCTTGATCAAGATCCATCAAACTCCTATTGGGTATAAACCGATCTCCCTAAATTTGCAGATGCACAAAACCCAAAATTCAAAGAAGAACAAATCAGCAACCAAACGTCAAAGCAACAGTAAGGCATAAGAGAATGCCATAAAGGGTTACAGAAAAGTAAAATCTTGCTGAAGATAAAGGGCAATGTATAGAGTAATTTGTACCGGAAAGTCGTATTGAGTAATGGGGTTGCTGTTCAGGCGAGTAGGAGAGTACCAATCCGATTGAAGTTCCCACATTTTTTATAAACTGGTTTCTCTCTAATTGCTAATGCAGAGAATAAACAAACTCCTTCTTCACCAGGCAATAAAGAAGAAGAAGAAGAAGAAGAAGAAGAGAGAGAAAAAAAAAATTCTTTAACTAAAACAATGGCATCTCCCGCCAAATAGATTTATGTATGGTGGAAATCCAACCGTTGCTTCTGTTGAGACAATAATGAGCAAGAACTTGGGTTTTGACTCAAAAGACAAAGGCTTGGGCTTTAAAAGCTCAGGCCCAGGCCCAGCAGGCCCAACACCTTACTTCTAATAATGCAATTATGCAATGCAATTGCCAGAAGTGAAGAACCCTTACTGCTAATAATGCAATAATGCAATAAAAATGAAAAAGGTCACACCTTTTCTTCAAGAAAGAACCCTCATTTCTCCAGTTCTGATCATGGAAGAAGAGAAGGCCTGGCATGAGGAAGAAGAGCCTGTCAGTTTAGCCTGGATGACTGCCTGGCCAAACAGAAGCTTCCAATCCAACAAAGTTACACCAATGGAGAATTGGTCTCTCTGGTAGAGCAGGCAAGTCATCCTTGGCTACCAAACCAGGCTCTTGCTCTCATGTTAGGCCTCCCTTCCTCTCTTTCTCTCCACTCCTCCTGCAAGGCTGCAATGGGATGAAAAATATTGCATTTTGAGCTCTCTATTTATAGCCTGTAAAAGACAAAGAAATATTGCAGACCAAATCTTTTTTATTATTTCATCTGTGTGTTTGCACCATTTGGCTGACATGATGGAATATATTCTTTGGGGGAAAAGGAAAACCCATGGAGGTCAATCTGCCACACTGATCAGCCAAATTGATCAAATATGTCTCTTGACTCTTCGATAAAATAAAAAAAAAACAAATGCTTTCACAGCTGAGTTTTGGTCATGGCGATGCAAATTAATGCTTTTAAGGTCCGTTTGAGATTGCTTTTTTTCGCCAAAAACCTGTTTCATTTTAAAGTTTAGCAGTTTAAGGTGTTTGGTAAAAATAAAATATCTCGATTATTTTAAAAGCAGTGGTCTTTTGACATCAACTTTTAAAAGCAGGCTCTGAGTTGCTTTTCAAAGTTGCTTTCAAAATAAGCAGAGATTAACTTTTAATAAAAAAATTTAAATCCCAAAATACCATCATTCATTTTTAAAAATACAAATTTATAAATAAACCCAATCCTAGATATGTATTTATAAAAAAACTCAAACACTATTTAAACATAGAAACACACCCAAAATCAACCCCAAAGTCAACAATTGTATATTTTTTGGGTGTGTTTATAAATGAGTTTTGAGTGTGTGTAATGATGAGTTTTGGGTGTGTTTATAAAGTGTTTTGGGTGTTGGGTTTTTTTATAATTTTAGCTCATATTTTGGGTGTTTTAGTGAAACTCCCTTTTAAAAATGACACCACCTCCACTTCCACATGATCCAACTGCACCACTTGCACCACCACATTCACTACCTCCACAACCATTGTCACTGCCGCCACATCCTCCTCTTCCTCATCCTCCGCTACCACCACCTCCACCATCACCTCCTCCACCACCAGCATCACCACCACTACTACCATCACCTCCTCCAAAACCTCCACATTCACCACCACCTTTACAACTGTCATCCCCACCACCACTACTACCACAACCACCAACTCCACCTTCATTACCACAACCACCTTCACTCTATCACCATCACTACCACCACATGATTAGTACATAACTTTTAACATCATGTCTATTTTAGTCATTATTCACAGTTACAACAATTTTATATTAAAATTTACCAAACGGTTTTGACACTGCTTTTTGTACTAACAACACTTAAAAAATATTATTTACTAAATATGAAGTTACTTTACTTTACAGCTAATTACTTTCAAAGCACAACATAATTAACTTTTTTTTAAAAGTAACAACAATCCCAAACTATAATGAATTGGTTTCTTGCCTCAAACAGGTTAATCCCCGGTTGCCATTTCTGGCCAAAAAGGAGTGATGGGTGGCCTTTTGGGTTTTTAAATGCAAATCAAAGCATCTTTTAACTGCTCATGCACCAACCAGAGTCCTTCACTTTATGCTAACAGTGATTCTAGTGGGGCAACACGAACATCAACCAAATTGAAATGCCCCACCTTGAAATTAAAGTCAATGCCTTGTCCACTAACAAATATTTTGGGGCTCATCGCTTGATCCATTTGGTTAAGGGATTTTGCTTTGATTTATAGATAGTTACCTTTTCAGGTTTATGTAGAAACACATTCATTACAGTCAGCACACAAAGCAAAAGAAAGGCACATCCATTACATATATAGGCATGAAACTGAAAGATTTGAAGTTCAACGTGATTTGGCAAAATTCATCTATAGGCATGTACAAAAAATAATCATTTAGACACTGAATTATGAAAATTCCTATAATACAAGATAAAAATGACCTATATCTATTTTTTGGTTCCTTAACTTCGTCATCATAACATAAAACACGTTTTTAGTGTATAGTATTTCGTCCATCTTAATTAACCATCTACTATTTATGGATAAAATGATATTTCTTTATACTTCGTTGGATAATATTCAAAGTTCGAATCTTTTTTGTCCTCAAATTAAAGAAAAAAACGTTCTCATGTTTACATGAAAGGTTATAAATAGGCCAAACCAAATTTTATGAATCACATTTTTCTCACTACCTTTGGTTCTATAATATGTTCTCTCACATATTATCCATGCTATTGTTAAGAGAATAGGGTTGTAAATTACGTACATGATATAACTTCTATTATATCGCACATGCGTCACATTTGTGTGACACTTTTAGTAATCATTTAATATTTAATTGTAGTTCTTATTCTTAGAGCTTAGAATAATAAAAGCCAACGACGTCGTTTAAGGGCAGCTAACTGACGCAAAATGAATTAGAAGTGAAGAAACGAAACGCAACCGCAAGATTTTTCTTTCTACGACGTGGTACAATCTTGTACGTTCATCGTCAGCCCGACGCAAACAATAATGCAATCGTCAAGCAGAGTCTCCGAATCCAATGAGGTAATCAAATACAAACGGATAAAAAAGTCAAAATCCCAAAGTGCCCCCACGGGTTCTCAAAATTTCAAATTTGAGCCACGTTTCTCCTCAACCCCAACCCCAACCCCATACACATCGACCGCCCGATCCCAAATATATAATCCCCAAACCAAAAACCTCACAAAACCAGACACACCTCTCCGAATCACACTCACACAGACAATAGAGAGAGAGAGATGGAGGAGCAACAAGAGCACGAGGTTTACGGCGGCGAGATCCCAGCCGACGACGGCGAAGACGTCGACATGTCGTCCAGGGCCGACGACGACCAAGACTACAACGACGACCCTAACTCCAAGGTACTGCAATTTAGTCTCGTAAATCTCGATTGGTAGCTTCTTATTTGTTTGGACCGGTTGGGTTCATTTAGGTTCGGTTTTTCGTTGTGATATAGGAGCTGGAGGACATGAAGAAGCGGCTCAAGGAGATAGAAGAAGAGGCCGGCGCACTCCGCGACATGCAGGCCAAGGTCGAAAAGGAGATGGGCGCTGTTCAAGGTATCAATCCCCTCCCATTCATCCGCAAGAAACCTAAGTTTTAGTGTTCTTTTTTATTCTTGCTTTCTTTAGGTATTGTGGGCGTGATTTGTTGAGCTAGGGTTAGGCTGCATTTGATTCTTTTGTGGGTTTGAGCTCAGTGATAACTGTTTAGCTAATGCTAGGTCAGAATCAACTTTGTAGTCCTTTTGTGCTGTATGATTGGTGAATTCTTACATAAAAGCTTAAAAGAACATGGAAATTTGATTATTTTGAATTTTGATGCGTTGAACCGACCACGTTGTCACTTGGCACTGATTAATTGAGTGAATAACCCGAATTGGAAGGTTATTTATTTTGTACAATTGGAGTTTGGTAGGTTTGTTGTGTGTATGTGCACATGCACGTGTACCGTCTCGAATGGTTATACTAGAGTGATTGTTCGCTTATATAAGATACTGTAAAGACAGGAAAATTTTAATTATTTCGAGTCTTCACGTGCCGACCCTGGTTGTCAGTTGTTTGTCACTGATTAAATGGATCAATTGCCCAAGTTCCAAGGTTTCTCATATTGTATAATTGGGATTTTGTAGATTTTATTCTGCATACGTGTACGCTTGCCGTCTTGAATATTTTTACGAGGAGTCACTGTCCTTTTATATAAGCCCGATTGGTTCTAGTGCATAACTATGTGTCTCTAATATGATAACTAACCGGATTCTCTTAGTTGCATCTCCACCCTCTGCCATTTTTGTCTAATTGTGCGTCATTTGTATTTTCTTTGTTGGTCAGCCCATCGAAGGCACCTTTGAGTTATACATACAATGGTTCTTATAGAATCTTTCTGTCATACATTAGGCTTTTATAATGTGTATCAGCAGTAGTTTTGAACTGTTCATGCTTTAAATGTGATAAAACATGATTTCCATGGTTTGATGGTGCTAGATTTTAAGTTTTACTTCAAGGTTTATTGTTTCAAGTAATGATATCTATCAATATTAGCTAATAGTTATTGTTTTTATATGTTTTGATTGTGAATGAAGATTCCTCTAGTGGTTCTGCAACTCAGGCTGAGAAGGAGGAGGTGGATTCTCGATCCATCTATGTTGGTAATGTGAGGCTCAACAATCCTATCTTTGTTTCATTTTAATTTGGAATTCATTATACTATATTTAGTGTGGCTTGCTTTGCTCTACATCTTTATCGTTTCTCTTATGAAAATTAGTTCTTGAGGGATCAATCTTTTAGACTTAGAAGATATCATAGTTTAGGATATCACTCAGTTTCCTAGCAGACATTTTATATGTTGCTTTAGGAGTTCCCTAGGTCTGAGTGGCATCCATAGAGTTTGTTTGTTGCCCTAATTTTTTTAATTTACTCTGTGATTGTTATGTTTCTTTAGATTTTTTTTTTCCTGTAGGCTGCAAATTATTGAAGGTTTCTTAGCCTGATTAATTTGTAGTTTGAGATTTGAATTTCACGTAGCCATCTATCTTCCATAGCCATGCCATCTTGAAAGAACTAGTTTAGATAATTTCTGGTGCAGATAGAGTTGGGTTGATAAACTTAAAAAGTTTAATGATATTTGGTATTCATTAATGTATAATTTAATGCAATTTTAAACAATTTACCACAGCAACTTTAAGTTAGCTCTATGTAGTTTTTGAGATGCAGTCTCAAATTAGTTTGATTTCCTTTGTGTTTTGATTAAGTTCAACTGCAATAGGTCCAACGTTCTTTCTAAATTGTAACCATATGTGATATTTTATATCGTCTCTGGAAGCCCCAAGACCAAGAGTGAGAACTTCGTTTGATTTTAACTTCAGGTCGACTATGCATGTACTCCTGAGGAAGTCCAGCAGCATTTTCAGTCTTGTGGAACTGTGAACAGAGTTACAATTTTGACTGACAAGTTTGGTCAACCAAAAGGATTTGCTTACGTTGAGTTTGTTGAAGTTGATGCTGTTCAGAATGCTCTCCTGTTAAATGAATCAGAATTGCATGGCCGTCAATTGAAGGTACTTGATTTATTTTATATAGATAGTTCTCTATACTCATTTGAATTAGGGTAATAATTTTTTGGTCAATCATTTGAGCTATAGTGATTGGTTTTGGTATATTCACAGGTCTCTGCTAAGCGGACAAACGTTCCTGGAATGAAACAGTATCGGGGAAGGCGTCCAAACCCATTTTTTCGATCTCGGAGGCCCTTCATACCTGCTGCACCTTTCTTTCCTGCGTATGGTTATGGGTAAGCCCTAGGATCTCTTTGTTCTACTTGGTTGCCTTTAAGGAAGTCAAAGAGGCATGAGAATTTGGAAATTACTATTTGTCTCCATCAAATTCATCCTTTACTTGCTTTATGACAATTTAGTGTGCTTGAGTGTAGATTTTAGATTCGTATAAGACACAAAATATATGTGAAATGATATAAGGCCACACAACATGTGCTGCTGAGAGTATATAGACTTTAGTGGTATTATTTGAACTAAAGGTAATATTGTACTTTGCATGCCCCTCACATACTTCCGAAAAAAATGAATAAGCTGAAACTGCCAAAACTAGAAACTATGACAATCTTAAGCACCTAGTCAATTTCTCCTAGGCTGCGCAGCAGGTCCTTTGACAAATTGACTAGGCTGCAATATTGGCAGCTTGTTTGTGTTATTTCCTTAGCTGCACTGCTGGAAACTCTAGGTTTTTGTTTGTCTCGCTCACTCTGAGATACAAATAAGATAGTTTCTACACTTATGCATTGATTTGTTTTTTCTTGTATGCAGGAGGGTTCCAAGGTTCAGGCGGCCCATGCGATATAGACCATACTAATGATGAATAACATCACCAGGTGGCCACGTTATGTGAAGGCCATGTATGTTTTATTATGGTCATATACCATTCTAATTGTGCAAGAGCCATTTATGTTTCATTATGGTCGTATCTATAGTTTTGGGAACTGGAGAAAAGAAGTTGAACCATCATTTGCATGGCAGAGGCCAACTTGATTCTTTCTCAAATTTGTAGTGCACAAAATGGTTTAGTTCATGTGTGGAGGGGATGAAAGAAGGCAGATGTGCAAATGCTGTATTAGAGATGAGTCCTTTTTACAGAATTCTATGCTAGATTTGTAGTTTTAAGATCAGTGTGGATGTTTTTTTCAACATTGAAGGAAGTGTTTATGCATTCAATTTTATGAATTCGAGTAGTGAATTATCAATATAAAGTTGTCTTTTTTGGGTCAAGACAAAAGTTTGTTTGTCCAAATGACATGATGTGGGCATATATTTTCCAATAAAATAAACGCAGGTGGAGGATTTATGCAGAACAGGAAATGTTGCAAATTGATTCTAGCCTCCATTCTAGAATGAAGCTTGTGAAATTGGACCGAGTCTATTGTATGTCGATTGCTTATGAATGGGATCTGTTTATAGCCCTTGATGTGAATTCCAACAGGTTAAATCACGTTCTTAGACATCCTCATCCCAAGATATCTTCACAAAATGAGTTTAGGTCTGAACAAACTAGACAAGTAACGTGGGTTGTTACATGGCAATATCTTGTTTCAAAATCAATTTTGATACAAGCAAACAAAATCACTATCCTATCCTATGAGCTGGGATCTCAAATTCGAGAAATTGTTTTAATGACACTGAATTTCTACTGAATGTCAATATACCATGAGCGCAAAAATTGGACAATTAACAAGAATTTGTGGTAGTGCGTGTGTGAGAAACCCCCCCTCCCCTTGTACTAGTTTAGACCATCGCTTGTATTCCGAAAAAAGGACCGAAAAAAGGAGGGGGAAGGGTTGGGGTGGGGAGTGTTTCAACTTTATTTTTTTCGCCTTAAAAAAATATTTATTATTTATGGGCTAAAAAATAAATCAAGTAGTAATTTTGAGATTGGGCTCAGACCAAGGCAACGCCGGCTTGGCCCATCTCCGCTGCTTTAGTTGTTATGATTGTTACGGATGCTACTACTAGTAGAAAGGGGGCGCTTCTTGTTCAGTCTCGTTAAATAAAGAATCCAAGTTAAAGTAAAGAGGGAGGGAGAATAGCAGAAAATCGCTCGCAAAATCTGATATCTGAGTGCGTGGGAGGCTTGAAATTGAATGGCTTCTGGCACAGAGAGTGACGAAACAGCCGATACTCCACCCTTGTAAGCAAGCCCACCTTCTTCCTCTTCGCTTTCAAATATTATAATTTTTTTGCCTTTTATTTTTCTTCTGATTTATATGATTTTTTGTCGATATCCTAAACTTTCCTGCGGTTCGTGGGAGTTCATTTTATCTTAATTAATTTCTCAAACGTTTTACCCATTTGATTGGAACAGAGAAAGAAGTTGTTCAATTTGATTGATTTCTACTGGTAATTGCAGGACAAATACCATATACAAGGACCCAGATGACGGCCGACAACGCTTCTTGCTTGAATTGGAATTCGTCCAATGTCTTGCAAATCCCACCTACATTCACTGTACTCTCCTTTCACTTTGCTATTTTTCTTTCTTTTTGCATTTACTCTATCTTCATGGACATGCACCATTGTTATAAAAGTACCTTATTCTTTGTCTGTTTGCTACAGATTTGGCTCAAAATCGTTATTTTGAAGATGAGGCGTTCATTGGGTACTTGAAATATCTTCAATATTGGCAGCGTCCTGAGTATACGAAATTTATAATGTGAGTGAAAACCCATGTCTTATAATAACTTTGTGGTCATTTTTGTCTTAAAAAAATAAAATAACTTTGTGGTCATTTTGAGTTCATTGACTGGTCTACGTTCTTTTATAAGGTATTTTTTTTTTCCACCCTTGATATAATTTCCTGTAACTATTCAGGTATCCTCATTGCCTATTTTTTCTTGAGCAACTTCAAAATGCCAACTTTCGCAACGCAATGGCCCATCCTGTTAACAAGGTCAATTTCTGATGCTTCTGTGTTGTTCCCTTTTGAGTCACTTCTGGAATGATGTTTTTCTCCCTTAAAATTTAAAGTGTTTGGAGCTATATATTGGAGTTAGCAGTAAATTCATCTGGTTCTTGTAACTTTTAGGAATTGGCACATAGGCAGCAATTCTACTTTTGGAAGAACTATAGGAACAACCGTTTGAAACATATATTACCGAGACCCCTTCCTGAACCTGTTGCTGCACCTCCTACTCCTGCTCCACCTCAGCAACCTGTGCCTCCTGTGCCAGCTACAACTGTTTCGGTGACAGCAAATGCTCCAGCCCCTTCTCCTATGCAGTATGCTGTTCCCCCTGGGTCTGCTCTTGCAAAAAACGAAGCAAGGAATAGTGGGGTTGATCGAAGAAAGAGGAAGTATGTTGATTCTTTTATTTTATTTTTTTCGTCATTGTGGAAGCACAAGTTTTCTGCAAATTTTAACCAAAAAACCATACTAGATCAGTGTCCTGATTTATGCATGTGGTTATTACTATAGGAAAGAAGGTTAACTTGACAGTATCATACATAATAACAGCAATGGAAAATATATCAGGTGAGGTAAGTTTTAATTTCTTGGTCTTCAGGCTTATGAGATTAGCATTATTTCTTATTCAAATTCTATGATACAATGATCAAGCTCATATGATAAGGTCCAAGTTTTTCAAATATGGTAGATAATTGTATAGCATTATGATAAATGTCTAATATCCACCCTTTCTGCATTTTTCTTTTGCTTCTTTGATAGTGATTGATGAATTCATGAAATCTTTATGCTCTATGAAATTCTTGGTTAGCAGTAGTCTTCAGTAACTTGTATATCTGATTCCACTTGTTCCATCAGATCAATTATGTATTTTTCAATGCCAGGGGAAAAAAAGAAGAACAAAAGAAGTTTTCTTTCCATGGCTGGCTCCCTTTTTCTTCTTTGGTGCAAACTGGGCAGCTGTGCCAGGTCTTTGTGAACATGTCATGCCAATCCTAAGTGTTCATCATGCTACAGTGTTTTTTCCTTTCTCCTCCCCACCTTTTATATGGCGATGATGATGTGCTCTTATTAAACTACACCTCTCAGGATGAGAACAGCTACTCTGTAGTTGTTCTTTGAGCAGATCTAGTAAAACATCTGAGCCATTTGGCGGGAGTGAATTATAAGATGCTTATTTCAGCTTCACCATCCTGCCAGGCTTATTGTATTTTTTTTTGGAAGGGACTGGGTTTTATTTATTTATTTATTTTAAATCTTTGATGTTTTGGTTGGGGGTAGGGGTAGGGGTGGGGGCACTTTAATTTTTGTTTGGCCTACACATTAGGAAAATGCGTTGTGGTAACGGGGTCCTTTGTATTAAATGTCTTGCACAATGTTCATTCAAATTAAAGTATGTGCACATGTATTCTAAGTGCAATTGCATTCTTACCGTTTTTGTTGACCATTTGGGTTTATGGATGGTCTGCGATATTTGTTACCCAATGACAGAATATTGGCACATTTAAAATTCACAACATTATGAAATCTTCTGAAGAAATAGCCTTTGGCTGGGATATATAAGTATTTCTATAACATTTTATATGTGTAAACCATATTTCATGCTTTTATCTGTTCATTTTGAAAGTTTTGTCACTGATTGTAGGAGAATGGTCAAGAACTGAAGGTGCAGGACTTTCCATCTTTCAGAGAGATTTTGACATTATAATGTTAGTTCCTTTGAGACACTTTATGAGCACACGTGGGAGTTCGTGAGACTGTGACCATAGCACAAAACTTTTAGAAGATCATCTGGTAGTTATCTTTGTACTGTATTTTATACCTCGTAAGTTGTAAGATTGCCTACTTATGGTTGGAATAGATTGCTTGGAGGATAATTTATTTCCTCGAATAGTTTTGATTTCGTTGAGGTGCCTAACTCAAAAATGTCCTTTGATTGTGTTGTCAATCAATTTGCTTCTTGTTGGTCTGAGTTGAATGATTTTGGTTTGTCTTTTGTTTTTCTCCCAATGAGAACTCCTCCATGGTCTAAGAAACTGGTTGGCTTACAAGAAAAACTGTTTTCATCTTAGTCAAGCCAAAATTGCAGACGGAACTGATCAGATCATTTTGCGAATTAATGGTTTGATTTGTTAAATTGTGTTTCCTTCAATGTCTCCTCCAAGCTGATGTACCAAATCCCAGCAACATTCTCTATTGGATTCTAAGATACAACATTAATTTTCTGAAAACCAGGTTATGGATGGATTTGTGCAGAACATGAATTGTTTCTCGAGACGCTGGCTGATAGGACACGTAATGAAAACGTTAAAAAGATGGTGTGTTTGTTCTTGGCACTGCTTACTTGCAGAACAACCAAAGCAAAATTGAGTTTTGATAGCACAACACAAATCAAAGTGTTGTTTGTGTAATCTAGTAGGGTAAAAACGACATTGTCCATTTACCCCCGACCGAGGTCTGTTGTCTGTCTTATTGGAAATTTGCCAATTGGTCCCTTTTGCAGTTGAGACCTGTTCAGATATTCTCAGGCTCAGTTCTAATTTTCCATATCCTTCTTTATCTTCTTCAATTCCTCACCTTCCTTTCCAAAGCGTATCTGTCCACCTCATCCCCAATACGCGGCGAAGCGTGGTCCAACTTAATAACCTGGCCCACGTCAATTCCCACGCCACGTGGATAATACTGAATGGCGATTGCTCATCTGACTCCAGTTAAGTCTGAGTTGTCGTGACGTAAGATGTTACAAGGGAAGGTAGGAGGGTTATTGATTGGGATGCCACGTCATCCTCCGGTCGTTGAACTGCCCAGATAAGCCTTCTTCCAAACTACGTGGATGCCAAATATAATAATTAATTGTAATAGGAAAAAAAAATTCATTTGTTTATAGAAACAACGGTCATTATATGCATGCACATCAATTTTCACGTGAAAATCTGGCCCCCTAATTTCTGCTACGGTGAATCTAAAATAGCTGGCTTTGCTTGACTACTGTATATATTTACCATTATGCCCTTGAAGGTCAATAGTAACACATCAGCTTAGTGCTGTGATTGACCGAGCTCCTCAAGCTTATCTCTACAATGTGGTTAGGTGTTTACACATCTCGCTCTTTCTTTCTTCAAAATCTCTAAGCAAATCCATAACATCACCAACAGTGGCTGGGTGG